TTAATTATATATATTAAGACTATTAAATAATTCTTCTAAAAAGACTTTTAATAGATTTTTAAATTATTTAAATACGCTAAAGTCGTCTAACTACGTAATATTATATCGTATAACTTTATTATAATTATTCTTACTATTTTTAAATAGAATCTAATATAAAAGTATAATAAACGCTTATTTTAAATTATATATAATTACTATATTAACTAATAACGTAAATTACTCTATATCTACTATTGCGATATCTACTTACTTTTTATTACTTATAAAAAAATCGCGATAAATTTAAAATTACTTACGTTAATAAATATTTAGATCGATATTATAGATTTAAGAGAAATTAAGAATAAGATTGTATTCTTATATATTTATAGCATATATCTTTAAGTTTTACTCTTACTTTTTTTCTTAACTATTCGCGAGATTAAAGACTAGATTATACTTTTTATATAAGAGTATATAATAATCGTCGATAGTATATATTATTATTAGCGTATATTTAGATTTAGAAATCTATATCTCTTTAATAAAAGATTATAATACGAAGATTTCCTCGCTATCGATATTTATTAGAGTAGTTATCTTACGCTTTTTATTTAATATAGTAATTTCGTCTCTTAATAATAGAGAGCGAGATTATCGCTTAATTAATAGCGTACTTAATATTATAGCGATAAGTATTAAACTTTATCTTTTCTCTTATTTAATTTATAATTATATACTTTATTAATATATATAAAAGAATAAGATAGAGTTAAGCTTAAAAATCTTAAATTTATATATATAGCTAATTATTAATTTAGAATTACTACGCTCTTTAATTAGATCGACTAAATTAATCTAATAGCTCTTTCGCGTTTTCTCATTAAAAATTTATATATAGAAGTCTTATACTTTAAGATACTTAGCTTATAATAAATATAGTTACTTTATAATTTCTTAAATTATAGAGTTTACTTTATACTTTCTAACGCTATAAAAATAATAAAGTTTAGTCTACTATTAGTAGATTAAACTAATATTTAAATATTATAATTATATTAAACGCGTTCGAAATCGAATAATAATAATCCTTTCATCTATTTATATAATTATTATTCTTTTACTACTCTATTAATCTATTAATTCTATTAATATAAATATAATCGTTCTTAATATTCCTCGCGGAAATGTTACTAAACGCTTTAAGTATATATACTTCTTTTATTCGCCTCTTAGAGTCTCTATTAACGCCTTTAAACTATCTCTTAATAAATTTGTTACTATTAATAATCGAGGCTATAAGCGAGTTTAATAGCTATTTACTACTACTTATAAACGCGCTAAAAGATCCTTTAAAAGAGCTCGAATAAATATGTTCTCTTTTTCTCTATATACTTCTTTTAAGCTAGTAATAATATCTTTTAACTTAGTAATACTATCTCTTAAGACGCGCCTTTCTTCTTAATTCGTTTTTTATTATTCTATTTTGAAGTCTTTTAACGCGTATTAGATTCTAAATATCATTAAGAAGAAGCTTCTAAACGAGAGAAAGACGATATAGAAGATTCTCTATTACGAGACTTACTATTAGATTTCTTTAATAATAATCTTTTCGATAGTTTACATTCTTTTAGCTTATCTTTTAACTCTTATTTAAATTCTACTTAGTCTTTAATAAGGCTCGCTAGCTATATCGCGCGCTATTTATATATTATCTACTTATAAACGCGTTAAAAGACTCTTAAAAAGAGCTTAAACGGATTTATAGCTATCGTTTTTCTTTATATACTTCTCTTAAGTTAGCGATACTCGATTAATCGTTTAGTTAATACTATCTATTTTATTAGCTTAATAATTTACTTAGTTAGATTATTAGTTAATTATTTAATTATCTACTTAGTTAACTATTTAGTTAATTACTTAATCTAATACTCTATAAGAGAAGAAGTAAAAGAAGAAACTATAATAGATAAATGTAAAGAATACTATAGAGAAACTAAGTAATAATAAGATTATTATAGTTAAGAATATAGCTTAATTCTCTAAGATTTCACGTTATATTAGTTATTTACTTAATTAGTTATTTAGCTAGTTACTTAATTTAATACTCTATAAGAGAAGAAGTAAAAGAAGAAACTATAATAGATAAATGCGGAGAATATTACGAAGAATACTATAGAGAATATTACGAAGAAATTAAGCGGTAATAAGATCTCTAATATTAAGAATACGACTTAGCTCTTTAAGATTCTACGTTATATACTCTCTATAATTTCATATTAAATCGTTATTTAGTAAGCGGAGAATATTATTATAACTTAATTTATTATCTCTACTATATTAAGAAGTAAGAGAAAAAACTATAATAGATAAATACGAAGAATACTATAAAGAATACTATAAAGAATATTACGAAGAAATTAAGCGATAATAAAATTATTATTATTAAGAATATAACTTAGCTCTTTAAGATTCTATATTATATACTCTCTACGATTCTATATTAAATTATTACTTAGTAAGCGAAGAATACTACTATAACTTAATTTATTATTTCTATTATATTAATATAATATATTACTATAATAACGTTATAAGAGAAGAATCTACTATTATAGTAAAATATCAAATAATATATATTTAAACGAATTAAAACTATTCGATATCTATAGCTATTTTATTTTTCGAAAGATTTTACTACGATAGAAGATATTATGAAATTTATACTACTAATTAATATATTATCTTTATTTCTTTCTAATATTTTAATACTTCTTATTATAAGAATATAATCTTTCTCTATTTTTTATAGATAATTATTATAAATTAATTCTCTATACTCGATATATCTTTCTAATTAAATCTTAGCGCGTCTCTCTTCATATATATATATCTATATACTATATAGATTTAATTTAATTTTATAGTAGTAAAAGTAGGTTAAAAATGTATAGTAAGAGATTAGAGTTCGATTTAACTTAGAACTAGAACTAAAATTCGATTTAACTTAGAAAAATTTAAACTTCATAAATTTAATTTATAGGTCTTTACTTGTTATTTATAATATAATTTAAATATTTAGACGAATTCTTATAATATCTTAGTTATTTATAATTATAATATTATATCTTAGTAAAAAGCGTTTTAGATTTAATATAAGAGTCGCTATCTTTAAATTTAATTCGCTTAAACTTTTAATCTTATAGTATCGATAAAAATAAACTCTTCTTTTAATCTTATTAACTCTTTATATACTATTCTTTAGACTTAGTATACTATTAATTATTACTTTTTTAATTACTTATCTTATTATTAAAGCGAGTCTTATCTAGAGTAGAAAGCTCTTTTATTTTTTATAGTCTTTACTCTATATCTTAATTAGTATATATAAAAGAATAAGATAGAACTAAGCTTAAAAATCTTAAATTTATATATATAGTTAATTATAAATTCGAGTTTTATACGCTTTTTAATTAGACCGGCTAAGTTAGCCCGATAGCTCTCTTATATCTTTCTTATTAAAAATTTATATATAGAAGTTTTATACTTTAAAGTACTTAGCTTATAATATATATAGTTACTTTATAATTTCTTAAATTATAAAGCTCGCTTTACGCTTTCTAACGCTATAAAAATTATAAAGTTTAATCTACTATTAGTAAATTAAATAGATATTTAAATATAGTAGTTATAATAGTTATATTAGACGCGTTCGAGATTAAATAATAATTCTTTTATCTATTTATATAATTATTCTTCTTTTATTATTTTATTAATTCTATTAATTTTATTAATATAAATATAATCATCTTCGATATTCCTCGTCTAAAGGTTACTTAATATTTTAGATATATATATCTCTATTACTTATCTCTTAAAGCCTCTATTAACATCTTTAAATTATTTCTTAATAAATTTATTATTATTAGTAATCGAGATTATAAGTAAGCTTAATAGCTATCTATTACTACTTATAAATATATTAAAAAACTCTTAAAGAGCTTAAATGAATATATTTTCTTTTATATACTTCTTTTAAGCTAGCGATAATATCTTTTAACTTAATAATACTATTTTTTAAAACGCGTCTTTCTTCTCTATTTATTTTTTATTATTTTATTTTAAAGTCTTTTAACGCGTATTAGATTCTAAATATTATTAAAAAAAAGCTTTTAAAAATATAATAATTATATTAGACGCGTTCGAAATCGAATAATAATTCTTTTATCTATTTATATAATTATTCTTCTTTTACTATTTTATTAATTATATTAATTTTATTAATATAAATATATTTATTCTCGATACTCTCGTATTTAATTAAATAAGAGAAAGATTTATAATAGACGAATATAAAGAATACTATAAAGAATATTACGAAGATAGTTATTAGTAGTAATAATATAATAAATATACTCTTTATAATCTTATATTAATTTATTTAAATAGTATAAGAGAAGTTAATATAGTAGATAAATATAAAGAATATTATAAAGAAATTAAGCGATAACAAGATTTTTAATATTAAGAATACGACTTAGCTCTCTAAGATTCCACGTTATATACTCTTTATAATTCTATATTAAATTACAAGTAAAGGCCTATGAATTAAATTCATGGAGTTGGATTTTTCTAAGTCAAATCGAACTCAGATCGCTTGCTGTGCGTTTTTGACCTACTTTCACCACTATAAAATTGATTTAATCTATGTGGTATATAGATATATATGTGCGGAGAGAGGCGCGCTAAGGCCTAATTAGGAAGGTATATCAAGTGTGAAAGATTGATCCGTAATAATTGTCTATAAAAAACAGAGAAAGGCCATGTCCTTATGGCAAGAAGTATCGAAATACCGGAAAGAAATGGAGACAACGTGTCAATTAGTGGTGTGAATCCCACAATATCTTCTGCCGCAGTGAAATTTTTCGAATAATGAAATAGCTATAGATATCGGATGGTTTCAATTTGTCCAAATATGCATCGTCCGATGTTTCTCCTGCAGAGGCCGCAGTGATGTATTATATTAATGCAGTGGGGATGATAGGCCAAGTTGCAGTGGTGTTCTCCGCTTGCTGAGTGATGATTTGATGTAGAACCGTGGAGAGTATATGATGTGGGATCTTGGAGAGCTGAGCCGTGTTCTTGACGATGGTGGCCTTGTTGCCGCTTGGTTTCTCCGCAGTGTTCTCCGTAGTGTTCTCCGTAGTGTTCTCCGCATTTGCCTGTTGTAGTTTCCTCCTCTTACTCCTTAATGTAGTGGGGATGACAGGCCAAGTTGTAGTGGTGTTCTCCGCTTGCTGAGTGATGATTTGATATGGAACCGTGGAGAGCATATGATGTGGGATCCTGGAGAGTTGAGTCGTGTTCTTGACGATGGTGGCCTTGTTGCCGCTTGGTTTCTCCGCAGTGTTCTCCATAGTGTTCTCCGCAGTGTTCTCCGCATTTGCCTGTTGTAGTTCCTCCTCTTACTCCTTAATACAGTGGGGATGACAGGCCAAGTTGTAGTGGTGTTCTCCGCTTGCTGAGTGATGATTTGATATGGAACCGTGGAGAGCATATGACGTGGGATCTTGGAGAGCTGAGCCGTGTTCTTGGTGCTGGGGCCTTGTTGCCGCTTGGTTTCTCCGCAGTGTTCTCCGCATTCGCCTGTTGTAGATCCTCCTCTTGTTTAACTGAGTGCGAGGGTACCGAGGGTAAATGTGTTCATATTGGTGGAATTGGTAGAATTGGTAGAATTGGTAGAATGGTGGAAGAAGAATGGTTACACACCGATCCCGGACGCGTCTGGTGTGATTATCATATTTGAATGTCAATTTAATCCACCAATAGTAGGCCAAACTTCATAATTTTTACATCGTTAGAAAGCGCATATTGAACTCTATAATTTACGAAATTATGAAGTAACAGCATCCTTAGGGAGCTGGTTATTTCAGAGTATAAGACTTCTGCACATAGATTTTTGTAGATTTTTGATGGTTGCGGACGCTAATTTATTTACCCGCGGTGTCTAACCAAAAAGCGTAGACCTGACGAATTTATAATTGGCTGCATATACAAATTCAAGGTTTTCTAGTTCAGCCCTACCTTATTCTTTTATATATACTAATTATTTAATAAGTAAAGAATATTATTATAACTTAATTTATTATCTCTATTATATTAAAGAATAAGAGAAGAAATTATAATAGATAAATATAAAGAATACTACGAAGAATATTACGGAGAATATTATAAAGAATACTATAAAGAAACTAAGCGATAATAAGATTACTATCGTTAAGAATATAGCTTAACTCTTTAAAATCTTATATTATATTAGTTATCTACCTAGTTAATTACTTAATTAATTACTTAATTTAATACTCTATAAAAGAAAAAGTAAAAGAAGAAACTATAATAGATAAATACGAAGAATATTACGAAGAAATTAAGCGATAATAAAATTACTATCGTTAAGAATATAATTTAGCTTTTTAAGATTTTAGATTATATTAGTTATCTACTTAGTTAGCTATTTAATTAAATACTTAATTTAATACTTTATAAAAGAAGAAATAAAAGAAGAAACTATAATAGATAAATGCGAAGAATACTACGAAGAAATTAAATAATAATAAGACTATTATCGTTAAAAATACGACTTAACTCTTTAAAATTTCACGTTATATACTCTCTATAGTTTTATATTAAATTATTACTTAGTAAGCGAAGAATATTATTATAACTTAATCTATTATTCTTACTATATTAAGAAATAAGAGAAGAAACTATAATAGATAAATACGAAGAATACTATAGAGAATACTATAAAGAATATTACGAAGAAATTAAGTAATAATAAAACTATTATCGTTAAGAATACGACTTAGCTCTTTAATATCCCACGTTATATACTCTCTACGATTTCATATTAAATTATTACTTAGTAAGCGGAGAATACTATTATAACTTAGTTTATTATTCTTATTATATTAATATAATATATTACTATAATAACGTTATAAGAGAAGAATCTACTATTATAGTTAATTAAGCCTCTATAGAAGAAATATTAAATAATATATATTTAAACGAATTAAAGTCGTTCGATATCTATAGCTATTTTATTATTCGAAAGATTTTACTACGATAGAAGATATTATAGAATTCATACTTCTAATTAATATATTATCTTTATTTCTTTTCGATATTTTAATACTTCTTATTATAGAGATATAATCTTTCTCTATCTTTTATAGATAATTATTATAAATTAATTCTTTATACTTAATATATCTTTCTAATTAAATCTTAGCGCGTCTCTCTTTAAATATATATATCTATATATTATATAGATTAAATTAATTTTATAATAATAGAAGTAGATTAAAAACGTATAGTAAGCGATTAAAGTTCGATTTAACTTAGAAGAATTTAACTCTATAAATTTAATTTATAAATCTTTACTTATATTATTATAATAATATAGTATAGATAATAGATTAAGTAATCTCCTTTATAACTTTTAAAGATATTTTCTCTATTACTTTATCTCGTAGATCTTTTATATATTCTAGATTAATTATATAGCGATCTCGCTATAATTAGAATATAATAAAATAATTATTAAAGCTAATTATCGACTATATATCTCTTATAATTACTTTAATTAATTAATATTCTATATTATAAGACTTAATAGCTAAGTTATAAACTTAATTTAAATATTATCTCTTATATTTCTCTTAGATAAATCTCTCGATATTATATAATATCGTATTTTTAATATTTCTCTAGATTTACTTCTTAGTATTTACTAAGAAAATAAAAGCTTAACGAATCTTTTCTTTATTTATATAAAAATCGATATAAGATATTAAGGCGATAAAATTATCGTAGTCTTAAAGAAATATAACTATCGAGTTATAGTTATTAAAGTACTACGTATTAAATATCTTAATAATACTTATCTTCTTATAACTTAAATTAAGATAGTAATTATCGCTATACTCGCGACGATGTTCTTATATATTCTATATTTTAATTAGCTTAAATTTTTTAACGACTAGCTACTTCTTAATATTAAGCTCTAAAAATTAATAGCGTTAGACTTAAATTAAGTTTATAAAATAAGAGTCTTCGCTTATAAATAGAGAGTTATTAGATATAACGCTCTAGCGATTATTATTTTCATCGATAATATTATTAGAATTTCTATTAATATTAGAATTAATATTATAATCGCTTAATTATATAATAAATATATTCTAATAAAAGTCGCTTATTAGATTAAAAATATCGCTAATTAATTATAATAGAACGTTTCTACTTCGTAAATTAATAGAATTAACTTACGAGTTATTTACTATAACTAAATTAGATAGCTTTATATAAATAAAGTTATTAGAACTATAAGATAGTAAGATCTCTTTTAATAAAACTACGTAGTAGTTATATAATTAATAGAATAGATAGATTAATTACTAGATAAACTAATAACTAAAAAAAAAAAAAAAAAAAAAAAAAGAGAATTTATAAGTATTTAAGACTTTATTAAGTATATTAGATATTTATTTTAGCTGCGTAGCTTATAATCTAATAAGCGATATAAGCGAGCCTATTAATTCGCTTCGAGTACTTTTACTCTTATAAATAATATATAAGCTATAAGAGAGTTTAGACTACTATTATAGAATAAGAATATATTATTATAACTATCGAAGCTTATCGTAATATAATTAATTTAAGATATATTATCGAATATAATATTCTTAAAATAAGTCTACTTTTATAAGAAGAGTATCTTATCTATATAGTCTTTAGATATATAATTTAAATAACTATATTTAATATATAGACGATTATCGACTCTAATATTAAACGACTTCGTATTATTAATAAAAGAATTCTTCGAAGTTTTTCGATTAGAAAGATTCTTTAATAGAGTTTACTAATATTAGCGAGAATAATTTTATAAAAATAATTAATTTTATAATAAAGGTTCTTAATTTATACGATTTAGATTATATAAGAGAGATCTCTATAGTTATAGAGAGAGTATCTAGACTAGTATTATAAATGTCTTATACTAATATAAAATAGAAGATTAATAATTATTAGAGTAGTTATTACGATCTTAAGCTTTTATATAATAAAAGACTAGTAAAGTATTAATCTACGTTTTAGATATATTTCGCTATATAATCTTCTTATAGAATTAAAGCTTATTATTCTTAACTTTATTTTTATAAAGCTTTTAAATTTTAGCGTTAACTCGAGAAGTAAACTTAGTAATATTATAAAGCTTCTTTAAGAAGTAATTTAATAAGTTTATATACTTAGCACACTTACGTTTAACTAACTAATTTAAGATTTTATAAATCTAGATATATAGAAAGATATCGAGTAAAGAACTTTTAGCTAGAGATAATATCTCGCTAATATTAATATAATTCTTCGCTTTATACTTATATATTAAGTTAAATACTCGACTATAGTAGATTATAAGAGTTTTATTAAACTTCTAATATAATTTAGCTAGCTTTACTTCGAATATAATAATAAATATAGCTTCGATAACTTTTTCGAGAAATCGCTATTTTAGTAATAACGTGAATAATATAATAGTTTTATACGTATATACGTCGCTACTTAGTAAATCGATAGATTTAATATTAATTTTAATTTACTTAATCGTATTCTCTATTAATAGTAAATTGAGATACTATATATAGAGTTAAGATAGTATTATATCTATAATAATATTATAATACGATAATAGCTTAATCTTAAAGACTCTTAGCTAGCGAGCTATTAAATTCTTCTCTATAAATTTATTATAAAGCGAGAATATAAAATTTACTATAACGAGTATATAAGATATTAATAGAGAAGTTAAGGGGTTATTAAAGACTTTAAGAAAATCGCTTCTATAGCTACTATTATAAGAGTTTAAGCTAGTATAGTAATCGCTAAGAAAAGCTTTCGTAGAATAAAAAGAAATTGCTTTCTTAGATTAATCTAGCGAAGTATTCTTTTAATAGAATTCTAAGCTTATTAAAGTAACGTAGTTAAAGTTTAAGTAGTCTAGAAAATAATAGTATACTAGCTCTTTAAGTAGACTTCGAAATTAAGATAGACTTTTTAAGATAATTAGAATAAAGTAATATATAGCTTAATAATTATAATAAGAGAGTATAAGATAGAGTATTCTAGAAATAGTAGTTATAATATAATATTAAGTTTATAAACGTAGATTATATCTAGTAATAGCGAAAGATTACTATAATATATAATAGACTAATTTAATAAGTATAATATTCTTAATAAAAGAATCTTATAAAAAAAAGATAGAATTTTAGAAAGCGAATTATAAAGTTATAAGACTATATTTATAAGTAAAATAAAGCTATAAATAGCTTTAAAACGATAAACGAATATATTAATTAACTTACTAGATTATAGATATTTAAGTAAGATCTTTAATTATATAATAATAACTAGTCTAATATAGATAATAAAAATAATAAATTCTATGAAAGAATACTATAGTAGGATATATCTTATTAAGCTAAGCTATATTATATATAAACTAACTATAAGAGATTATAAGAAAGTTACGTCTAATAACTAAACGTTTTAAAGTCTTTAAAATATTATAATATTAGCTCCTTCGACTATCGTATAATATATCGCGTATTATTAAAGCTAGTAATTACTAGTTATTATTAATTATCTATTTTATATATATAAATATTTATATATCTTATAAATTAATAATTAGTCTTTTAGTTATAATTATTCTTTCTAATATATCTAATATTCTACTTTTAATAGATTATAAGCCCGAAAGCGAGTAGAATAATATCGAATATTCTTATACTTTCTAATATGAATATTAAACTAAGTCTTCGATAATCGTTTATAAATAGATATATCTTATAGCGATAGCTCATTTTTTTAACTTATATCTATCGACGAGAGAATTATCGCCATTTAATCTCTATATAAAAAATATCGAATTAAAATTCTTATTTTATTCGAGATCTCGAAATAATACGAGTAAACTATTAAAACTCTTAGATTATTTCGAGGTCTCGAAATAATACGAGTAAACTATTAAAACTCTTAGATTATTTCGAGATTTCGAAATAATATAAATAAATTATTAAAACTCTTAGATTATTTCGAAGTCTCGAAATAATACGAGTAAAATATTAAAAATTCTTATATTATTTCGAGGTCTCGAAACGGGTATTTAAAAGCCTCGATACTCTTTTTATTTTTCTTATCGAGGTTTTTTATAGATTTAACGAGGTCGAATAAATAATTAATCTCGAATATAAAGCGTAAATTTGAAAATTAATATATATGAAATACGATATACTAAGATTTAGAGAATCTAGCTTCTAAGACTATCGAGAAGTATTATAATATTAGCTCCTTCGACTATCGTATAATATATCGCGTATTATTAAAACTAGTAATTACTAGTTATTATTAGTCATTTATTTTATATATATAAATATTCGTATATTTTATAAATTAATAATTAGTCTTTTAGTTATAATTATTCTTTCTAATATATCTAATATTCTACTTTTAATATAGAATATATATAAAGACTTTAAAGAAGTTAATTAATTAATAGAAGCTTCTATAGAGAGACTAGCGTCGTTATATTACTAAGAGTAAACCTTAACTAAAAAACGTTAAAATAATCAGAGAAGTTAAAGTAGACGCGATTTATATATTACTTATATAGCTATATAATCTTCTTCTTATCTTAAAGTAACTAGCTTTAATCTTAATAATCTTTAATAATTATTCAAATTTGTCTTTAAAATCTTTGCGGAACCTATCTAGTGAGTGAAACGAGGATTCACTGTCACTGGTTGTGCAACAGCCACTTTTCTTTGCTCTTTTCTCTCTCCCTCTCTTTCTTTCCTTCCTTCCTTCCTTCCTTCTTTCTTTCTTCCATTCTTTCTTTCTTCCATTCTTTCTTTACGTCTATCTCCTTTCTCTACTCCACTCCACTGGTCACTACCGAGTGTAAAACCCTCAAGGAACTAATCGTGTCTCAACCCAATTCCGCTCATCCTTTCACCAAGCTCACCCATAGTGAGCCCTACTCTGCCATCTCACCATCCCGGCCTTCCCTATCTGCCAAGGGAAAAACCATACTAATTACAGGCGGGAGTGAGGGCATCGGCTAGACTATAGTTGCAGCTTTCGCAGCTGCGGGAGCGGCCAACATCATCATTCTGTCGCGCAGAGCCGAGCTGTTGGAGGAAGCCAAGAAGAAAATCGCACAAGCACACTCCGCCACCCAAATCCACACCTTTTCTGCCTCCATTGATGACGCCGACAATGTCAAATCCATCTTCGCTCAAGTCCGAGCCAGTATGGAGGAACCAGATATCCTGGTCCTTTGTGCCGCGCGTGGCCATCCGCCACAGAAACCTTGAGCGTACCAGTAAACAGCTTCTGGAAGGATTTCGAGATCAATGTTAAAGGCAACTTGAATGTCGTGACCGAGTACTTACGCCCGGAGACCTTGATCAAGGAGAAGAAGATCATTACCGTCTCTACTACTGGAGCGCACCAACGCATCCCAGGCATGGCAAGTTACGGAGCGAGCAAAGAGGCCCTCGTGCACATTCTCATGCACCTTCAAGAGGAGCACGCCGACAAGCGTGTTCGTATCACCAGCTACCATCCAGGCGCTATCCTCACGCCTGGCGCGAAAGCTTATGGGTTCGAGACATACCCCATTCCTTGGGAGGATGGTGAGCAGGACTCGGTCTGCAAAATGGATGGTACAAGCTAACGCCTTTTTTAAGTCAACCTCCCTGGCCAATTTGCTCTCTGGCTTGCGTCCAAGGAGGCCGATTTTCTGGTTGGCCGTTTCGTCTACGCTAGCTCGGACGTTGATGAGCTCAAAGCGAGGGCCGAGGAGTTCAAGAACAGCAACCCTCTCAAGATTGGTGTCATTGGTGAGCCTGCTGCGCAAGCCAACGTGACGAATACTACAACATAGAGAAGTTTGAGGATAGAAATATCATGCTTCATCTCAGAAACGAATTTCGATGTAGTCATATGTATCGTCTCGTCGGAATCATTGCAAACCCACAGCCATCAGCCTACAGTATTGATCTGCCCAAAATCATTTCCTCATCTCTTCATTTGAGCTACTTCCTCATTGCCGGGATTCATTCACAGGAATCGCCACAGATTTTAGTCATTCCTTTCCAGCTTCACCGTGCGGATAACCTTTTCCAAGAGACATCTCCCAGTACTCTAAACCCCATCCATCAAACTTTCTTTCTTCCTACACACTCTCTTATACACCAACACTGTTCTGCAGTTTTTCTTGGAAGTATGACAAGACCTGCCCGTATCTCTAGATACATACACCATATACACGCATTCTCTGAATCGAAGTATTCACATTCGACACCTAGAAAACTCTTTAACATGATCAAGATGACAAAGGTTAGGCAAGTAAGTACTGCTTGTTTGGATGGGAAAGACTGGACTATTACAAGTTACGGCTGATACTAGCTAATTATCTCTCATACTAATTGATACCAAGCCGCTCGCGGTCAAGCCTGGCCGCTATGGGGGAGTGCTCGTTAATACTGTAAGGGACGTTCAAACTGGTGGTGACCAGTGCGAATATTGCCAGAACCAGGTCGGCTTGTTTGCGGACTGCGTCACTTCGATAAAAGGAAAGGTGGTTTCTGCGGGAACTGTTACTTCCAGGATCGCACTTCCCTCAAAACTATTCACTGTTCGTTGTTGGAAGTCGACGGCCATAATGTACTCTATATACCCAATCCCACGGGCATGGGCGGAACTAGAGTTCTAAACATGCCAACCAAAGAGACGATCGTGGATGAATACTCTCTGCACGATGCGGCGAAAAAGGATGACAAAGACCACGATAACCAGACAGAGGAGCCACACGGTACTCTGAAAGTGATAAAAGAGAGAAGCCAGAAGCGAAAGTGTCAACAGGAGGAAGTCACGCCAGCGGAGTAGCCGATGGCAGTGGGGACAAGGAAAATTCGACAGTCAAAGAATGCACCCGGCCACTGGTTTCATGCAATCAGATACAGAAGGACCTTTCCCCTTCGGAACAGGGTCTTTCCCCCCAGAGCCACTCTTCCTATTTACATCTCCTCACATGCAATCGAAATCCTCCTGCCGCCACCCCAACGAATTCGCCCAAAGGCCCTGAAATTTTGGGCCACGCGTGGATTAGGCCAAAGGCACTCAGTTATTCTACACGAAGAAGATCCTACCTTCATACCTCAAAGAGCTGCAGAAACCCGGGCGAACAACGCGTAGAATGTGCATTGTTCAAAATCACGGCACGCGCTCAGCAGTGAATTACGAACGTCCGCACAAACGGAAGCATGACATCGAGACTCTAGAGCATCCGGGGCAGTCGCCTCACCAGAACCTATGGAAACCGTGTAGAACAGAGTTCGCCGTAGGAAGTGGAAGACATAAATGACTCAGAAGAGTCATTCTCCGGGTCATTGCTCTGGAGGCAGTCCAGGCCAGAACCGATGAGATGCCTGATTGATGGGTTTAGCTTGTGAACAATGGTGGTAAAAGTATCAAGTCAGCAACATGGTGAACGAATAGCTCTAGATAGACAGAAGTATAGCAATTCGGTCATGAATAAGCTCTTTTTCAATCCGGAGAGAAGGGGAAAGACTCGATGATTGGTCACTTGAAGCTCTACGCCAATGTCGCGCAGTCGAGCAGTGAGCAGCATTGTTGGGCCTTGTGAGGGTATGTGCACTGACTCATTGATACAGATGACAACTCCTTATACCTCTTCAACTACGGTATCCTCTGACACGATCAAAGTTTATCCACGCCTGACCCATCATCAGCACCCTCTGGTACGGAGCTCTCGCTCCCTGATGGTGAGACAATCCCACTCGATCGACTCCACGCTTCGCTGATAAGGTCTCTAGAATACGACCAAGAGAATAGTAACATTGAGGATCACGCGGATGACTACGGTTCCGAGTCTTGCAAAGATGGCAGGGCAGACTCCATCGGAAATTTCCAACCACCGAGAAGCAATGCCAGACAGGGCCCAAACATTGAGGCTGTTTGCGAGCTACATCCGTATTCCGGGAAAGTACGAGAGCGGTTTGAAAAAAGTAGGAAGTCGAGGCGCAAAATTGGCTTGTAACTCCAGAATGTGGCAGAGGTGGAGGAATCGGGAGCGCGTCTCCCAATCAATCTCAAAAGGAGCGATGATTAAATCAGAAAAGCCCACCAAGATGTTGACAAAAACTCTGATTTGCGAGGTCATTTACGAATATTCGCATCTACACATGGCTCTAAGTACACAAATGATCTACATTCGGAGGGTGACAGTAGAAGGAAAAGTCTTTAGAGTAGAAGAATCAGAATCATGGCCAAAAGATATCTACTCGCGAAAAAGAAGGATAACGATCTCGGTCTTGAGGAGATAACCCTTCACCATAAGCTTTAGGTTGTGTTTTGCCGAAGACGATGATCGCCATGAGATAAAGCTCAACGAGTGACTTGCAATTTCAATAATCACCAACGCAAAAGCTGCGACTAACATGCAACAGGTTTGATTTTACACCTCGTGCACTGTGTGCATCTACCGGAAATGACGATCCAACCAATATATCTCGCTCGCAGCAAACTTTTTCACGAATGGCTTCTCGCGCGAAGGTGAAAGACATCACCTTCCGACCGCTCTCCTGAATCTGACGTGAAGGTATCAATCACTTCCCGAACCAGGCTACAGATCTTCATGCATGATCTGCCACGGATCAAGAGTGGTTTTCTATCAAGACCCTTGCCAACTTAGTCCAATGCCACAACGAGCGAGGGAAAGTTTGCTGGTTGATGGTTGGTACTTAGTTGGTGACTAGGGTGGTGGAGTAAGAAAACAAAGTGCTAGGAAAGTAGGCTGCGCTTCCACTAGGACATGAGCTACAGCTCGAACAATTAGCTCAGCGTTGACTTGCTACCAGTCTCACGGTTCTTGAGATTGTTAAGACTTTGGTACGGTTTCCAGAAGAGCTTCCAAGAGCCTCTATATTGCGATATTTACTCGGCACGATGCAAAAGCTACTGCTAAAACCTACCCTATATCAGCTTGAAGGAGACCAGCATAAAATCCTTGAGTTCTCCGGCCTTGCTAGTAATCAGGAGAGTCTTTACGAAAGTACTATAGTAGCAAGAAAATATTGTTGAAGAAAGAGAGCCTCCGTAGGGCTGAGCTACTCTAATCATCACGTGATGACACGAGTGCCAAGAGTGCCAAGCCCCCACTGAGCTCGGAGCTACCCCTCCGAGCCCTCCTCTATGTCCTCCTGCCTTCACCATCTCTATGCTTCAACAACTTTTCACTCTCCATCCTCACACCACTGTTTTGGATGTTGTCCCCCGGAGCATCCTGAGCGGTAAAGAAACCCACAATGTTGGACCATCCAGCAGCTGACTGAAACAGTGGTCGCCTTCACGCCTTTACCCAGCTTCCCCAGCTCACAGCAGCCTCTGCCCGAGCAGTCTCACCTTTCCTCCATTGTCTCTCCTCACAAAAAAATACCACTGTCCGAAGACTCAAGCGAGTCGACTGCGAGAGCGATTCATCGTATCCCCAGCCCATCTCAGGAAGTACCCAGTCATAGCGCGGCAGGAACCATGGATGCCACCGCAGGCCTCAAGCGAAAGCCGGAAGCTGGGCAGACAGAGGCTAGAAAGAGGCGGGCAACAGAAAGCCCATGCCGAGACGTCCTTAAGATGGAGGGTGATATTGGTAGTGACAAGGATATGATTCAAGAGCGGAAATAAGCGTGTTGCTTTTATGGAACAAGAAGATGAGCATCCACAGCCTTTGTAGCTCAACGGTAGAGCGGAGAAATAAGCGACTCGGACGAGGAAGAGGAGGAGGATGAGGATGAGGATGATGAGTTTACACGAGGAGTCCTTGGGGGATTTCAACGAGCTTAGCGAGCAAAGAGACAGCGTTGAAGACGATGAGGGCGATAAGGACGATGGGGACTATGAGGGTCCGAGGAATTCAAGTGGCTCAAATCTATCAACATCCCAATCAAGGCCGACGATGCTGCAGACTCTCCTCGAATTGGCTTTTGTGAAGCCAAGCTCATTGATCGCGACTACATCCGAGCCACCTTCCATCGTGACATAGAGGAGCCCTCAAATGATACTGCGACTGATGGGTTTGGTGTCTTCAACCGATGAGGCTGCCTCAAGCCCGAGTTTCTGAATCATCCTGTCAGAAAGGGAACAGGTGTATGGGGGCCGGAGCTGAACGACGGACGATTCCTGCTGATTGAGACCCTTTCTATTTAGGAAGAATATCAGCGAAAGGGCTATGGCAAGAAGCTCTTTGAACAAGTTTGGGGAAAAGCCCAGAATCTCGCTATGCAAGAAGATAAAGACCGCAGGGCTGCTCGCAAGGGGAGACTCGAAGAGATCTGGAAGACACCCGCACCGAAGGCGAGAAGCCCACAGAGACCGACGATGATTTCCTTGATCGATTGACAAATCTTCCGACCGGATCAGAAAGCCGCGTTTGGTTGCAACTTCGCTATTGTCTGGGCCACTGTTCTTAACACCAGTGATGTCGAAGCTGAAGCGGATAAGCTCTCGTCCACTGAACGGGAGCTATTCTATCAGAGGAAGCAGGACGCCTTGGAGGACTTCTGAAGAGCCATGGGGTTCCGGCGCATTGGCTCGAGCTCGTTCTTCTGCTTAACACAGAATCCAGGTCATGCCTCTCACTACCTGCTGCCACGAGATGACTATACACGCCCTGCCGCTCTAGAAGCGTCTGCTCGCGCAGAGGGTCAAGACCTCCCACTCATGGATCCTATTGACGACCCGAACGCTTTGGAACAGAAGAAGTACAACGATGCTGAAACGAAGGAGCTGCTGGAGGCTCGCCTTCAGTCTTACCCTGGGACGGACCCCACATGGATTTCTACTGATAGACATAATAACAACATACTGCACGTGTTGGCTCGGACAGCCAAGTCGAGTCGCTTGCTTGGGCTCTTAGCTTACCTTTTGCTGATAACCTACGATCGGCTCGCAACCTTGAAGGAGAGACACCGTTGGAGGCATTGAGATGTCCGCTCGAGTCAAACAGAACGGAAATAGTGCGGATTGGCCGAGGTCGTGATGTCGGATCTATTCTCAGGTTTTACACCAAGTCAAGTCGAATGTCTTAGGCTGCTAGGGAACCTAAACCCCTCTGCTGATGAGCTGATACGCCTCGCCTTCGGGTGCAATTGTGGACAATACCTGGGCGGGTCTCTGAGCCCTCGAAATCTGTTCGCCCTTCTCTGTCAGGCTGAGATCAATCATGATATGCTCAACGATGAGTTATATACCAACTATATATCTGACATGGACTGGTGCCAATGGCGAAAAGACATGTTTGAATATCTTGTTCCCAGCGTCAGAGCCAATTTACGAACAAACAAAGTCTTTGCGCCAGGGCTTCACAAATCTTTTCGGCCACGTCGCTGAGATGCTACGAGCCAAGAAGCTGCCCTTGACGGATGCTATCCTCCACTACGCGGCAGGTGAATGGCCGTCCTACGTCAAGAGTTTCCTGCAACGAGGCGGAACAGTATACGCAGTCGTGCAAGCCTGTTTTGACTGTGCCATGAATTAAGACATCTACCTGGGGGACGGCGAACATCACCTCACCTTCCAAGAAGACATTGACGCAATGCCAGCCTGCAGAAACGATGGAGGATTCGTCTTCGCCCGCCGTCAATGTCGGAGATTGGAAGGCTTGCCCGACGAGGTAAATCCGAGAGTCGGGATGGGAGGTACCTGGGATGGGTTGGTCATTTCACGGCACTTTTGAGAGTCTGCTTCTGTTCGTTTTGCTTGATTCTATGCTGAGTTCGAAAGTGCTTCGTCTCTGGCAGTCGTATTAGAAGGGTGCAGGGACTGGCTGGCGAGAGTATCTCCATGACGAGCTTCAATTGCACTGCTAGCAGATCAAATAACATTGCAAAGCTAGCATGTCACATTCTCAGTATAGCTACTTTCGCATCACAATCCACTCTGCTCCATTGCTTGAGGTAGTATCGCTGGCCCATCTCAGGGCCAAGCACTTAGTCGGTACCGCATGGAACATTTCCCTGTAAGTGCGCGTCTTACGCTTTCGAGCGGTATGTTGGTACGTGACACATATCAGTCGCTTTGTCAAGCAAACGCGCCCTTACCTACCTACAGCACCACGACTCTCTCGCCGTTGCTCCGCTTACCCCAAAGGACGACACGTATGCAAGTGAAGTGCCTCTGTCAATCTTTATCTCCCCACCAAAAAGACAGAGTCGCAGATGGTTGACCGTGAAGCTATCTTGTCCCAATACCGTGACATCTCATATCGATCATTCACTTCAAACCTACCATCAAGGAGCCGAAGCAGCCAAAGTATTTTTCAGCTTTACCAGTGCATATGGAACCAAAATCTTAGGATATGCTAACGGAGACGGAGCCCCATGATAAGCCCCCCGCGTCCAGTGCCTCCACCAGCAATCCTACGTCCATCGAGACCTGACTTCAAATGTATTCCTGATGGGCGATGAGGCAAGAGTATCGTATATGTTGTTCACGGACCTTGGTATCGCTCGGATACTCGCCTTGTGGGAGTAAGACTTGGCACACAATGAGTCATTCTCGAGGCTCAGTCCCTAGTCAGGGAGAATTGGAAAGGTCAAAGCTATGGATGGATGCACACGGAGTCTCGATATGTCATTGTTTGACACTCCATGTTTGGTATAAAGAAACAACAAGACAATTTGCTACGGTTGTTCAAGTGTTTCCATGACAAACAATCAGATCAGAGCCTCCCTCTTCGGCCGTTATCGTGGTCAAAGGCCCTAAGTACGCCGCGGGCACATCCTCACTTGGAATCCCATTCCCTCCGCAGTCGTCTGCCTCATAGCCATACTGTGGCTTGCACAAGTTCCACCCATACTCACCGGTAAATGCGCAATCCTTGTCCAGCGGTGCGCACGACTGGTCCCAGACGCAGACCTGCACATTACTGATGCATCGCGGGACCAAGGTGACCGGGTCCAAGGTCGGATCGTTCGCGCCTCCGTACACGGCCATGTAGTCGGCGCAGGCTTTGGCGCCGAGGAACAAATCGGCGCCCGTGGTCCAGCCGTTCGAGAAGAGGGTTTCCATCAGATCGTAGTAGTTGATCTCCATGTTGCGGAGAGATGACAAGCCGAAGGCTGCGTTGGTGTCCGGGTCGTACCACCAGGCGCTGCAGACGCCGTATTGGTCGTATGAGCCACATTGGATGAGGTCCGTGGTGGTCATGGACCCGTTGCTGGCCAGCTCCTGCGGGTTCGTCTCCCGCGCCAGAGTGATGATGATGTTGCTCGCGGTCAAACAGGACGACACAATGTACGTTTCGAGGGCCTTTGTCAGGTTTGTGGTTTCGGCTTCCAAGGAAGCGCGGGTCGCGATGAAAGAACCATTGGCTGCGAAGAGATTGAAGCTTGTAAAGTCTTGTTGGACCAGAGCGAGCGCGTTGGAGATATTCTGCTGGTATGTCGTCTTGATGGTGCTGAGGCCATCGTAGATGTTGCTGATTTGGACTACCTCCGAGTCAAGCGTCCCTGTGGGATTGAGCTGTTTGAGTACCCCCGGTGATTGCCGCATGGCTGTCTCGGTGACGGATGTAATAACCTTCCCAAGTTCGGCGGGCAGGGTAAGTAAAGGCGCGAAAGCCGTCAGTGCTTGCAGGAAGTCCCCGAGAGATTGTTCCTGCTGCACTTCCGGGTTGATGGTTTTGACAATCTTGCCCACGGGGCCGCTGGCAGACAGATCTGCGTTCTCGATCGCTTCGTAGATGGATTCAAACCATTGCCATATAGCGAAGATCGTGTAGAGGGTATAAGCTTGTTGCGGGGTGTACCCAGTGAAGTTTTCGGGATAGTCGCACATGTTCGGTCCCGTGGAGTCGCACTGCTGTTCTTCCACTCCGACTGACTGCTGATAGCATGACACGAAACTGGTGTTTGCACCGCTACATGCTGCTTGATTGGTTTGCCACCAATCAGTCAAAAAAGTTGCCATTCCCAGCTCCTCCCAGCATGTCTGAGTGAGGTTTTGTCTGAGATCCGTACAGTTGCCGACAGTTCGTTTGGATAAGATTGGATATGTCGATGATGTCACAGGGGAAGCATCCGATGTCAAGATGCAGGTAAGGGTGGCGTAGAGCAGAAGCAGCCACGATCTGAGCATCGTTTTAGGCGGTGTAGTGTCTGGCTAGGAGCAAGATTTGCAGCAAGTTGGTGAACTTGAACAGGCGTAATAGAGAGCGAGGTGGTTCGTTGAGAGTCTGACGGTAGAAGAGGGTTGAGGGCAAAACGAAGGTGTATAGATACTTTACCTGAAGGCAATGACTGCGTTCCTTGAATGATAAGATAAAGTTGCTCGAGGCTGACTTTATACAAGCTGACGGCACTGACGCATCTCAGTGGCTCTTACCTAGACTTCCGTTGGCTTACCGCTCATCCATCTATGGTTTGTTCCACAAGAGTGGGCTACAATCTCTTCATTCCTACAAGTGTCAAACAGGTTGGGAAATTGAAGCTGAATGCAGGATCTGACCCACCGCCACGTGGGCATATGGATTGGGTGGAGTATCATACACCAGGAACCCGATCGCGGCCAGTCTAACGTAGGGTTAGGAGCGAGGACGGAAAATCGATCAAGCCAACGGGGGAATTTTCGTGGGATGCGGCAACCCGGCAGAGTGGGTACGATATGGTTGCGTCGAATACGAGCTAGGACTACCATTGTCGAATATTTTGCCATTGTGAGCCCACGGGCACAGCGAAGAGCGTATACAATATAAGCGCAGGTTCGCAATTGGCGCAGCGCTTACGCTACAATAAAATTCTACCCTGATGCGATGTTTCAGGGTCCGCAGAAGGGTGTTCGAAGGGCGTTATCGGAGCAGGAAGGGTCTCGTAGTTCGAAGGTCGAATTGGATTTGAGTGAGATATTCTAGTATAGAGCGGGTATCGGTGATCCTCTGCCAACTCGGTGAGTGGCGTGGGAGGTGCCATGTGAGCTTCGGGAGATGGACATTTCTCTCTTTGTGTTGTTCTCGCAAGAGAACGGTTAATATACGCTTTACATGATTGGCTTGATCGACCTGAACATGCAGACAAAAAGCGGCCGGTTCCTGTCACGGATGCGCGTAACTTTGACGTTCAATCCGCATTGTTGCTCAACGATGCTCCTCTTATCTAAAGACATACGACCACATTCCATGTGCTATGCCGGAACAATATCAAAAGAGAAGCATGATTCATCAAGAAAAGAAGAGAAGGCTCTGTGAGCTGAAGGGAAACCTCCTTGTCGGTAGCTTCTTGGCGTTTCTCGGTGTGGGTGCGCGTGGGGTGTAAATTGGGCTCCACTTGTCAACATACGAATACTGGTCAAATCAAGCCGTGCAAATTGACAATATAGCATTTTCCACATTCGCTTTATTTCTTTGATCGCTCATATGTCCTCCTCGTCCCGGTTGATGTCCTGGGCTGTTGGAGCTCTCGAAATGGTCTCACTATCACTACTGTCACCTCCCAAATCCTGGCTGATTTTCTTTACCATATACTCAATCCGTCTCGTAGCATTTTCGAGAGCGTCTAGTCTGCCTGTCAATCCATTGTTATCGTGTCCGTGTAACCATTCTCCCAAGCCATCCATCGCCGCCATCGAATCCTTCCGCTTCGCTGTCTTCGTTGGGATTGTGCGGTGGCCTTCTGATCTATTTTCTGTTTTGCCGTTAAGGCTGATAGACGGAACCGCAAGACTTCCAGGACGAGGATTCTCTTCGGCTTCAGATATCTCGTCCAAGACCGACTGAGGCGGGTCAGAGTCAAACACTGCTTGTATGTCTGCGTGCACCGAGAATCGTGAGAAGTCCCAAAAACTAATCTTGGTCTTAATTTTTGAGGGCTTCGTGCTCCACAGACGCCTGCGTTCGTACACGCTCAGGAGCAGTAGAAGCGGAGCATTGACTGTTCGCACAGCTGCAACGTTGATCTTGTGGAACCAGCGCGGAGTAAGGACTATCTTGAGTGGTAGCAGGAGGCAGAGTGCCAGAATATTGAAAGGGGGCTGGTAAGCAAAGATTGCATCGCTCTTGACTCCTTCAAAAGTGAGGACTGCTCTTCTAAATTGAATCTCGGCTGTCGCGTTGGATGCGATCTTGGAGAAAGTGCTGCTGAGCATCGATACGAGGATGGTAAGAAAGAGTGTATTGCCCAAGAAGGCAAACGTGACCATCAGGATCGGGCCAATAAGCCAGTGGAAGTCGACCGATCTTTGAATCCCGGTCCCATCGAGGCCGAACCAGACCCACAACATCCATTTGGAAATGGTGATCGGCGGATGATCACCCTCGCCAAGCCACATCATGCTAAGAAGAAATCCAGCAAAGCACCACACAGCCAGCAAGGTAAGAACTGTGAAATCGGCCATCATGGCTCGTAGAGAGACAAAAAGCATATTCTCCGAAAGCAGGTTGAAGGCCAAGCGCGGTATCAGCACAGGTGCCCCTGCCGACAAGATATCGAGTGCTGGAATACCGGAGCGAATGTCGCCTGTTGCCAAGCTGTGTATCCGAAGAACAAGGTAGACGACGTAGATGACAATGAACATGAAATCTAAGAACGCCCAAAGGTTCTGCGTATAGCACTGCCATCCATGCTCTAGAATGGAAGCGAACTCGTCCAGTGCCCAGCCCGTAGCGTACACGCAGAACACAAGCTCATACGTAGTGAACTTATCGCTCTGACGGTGCTGCATAGTAAGTATGTACAGTATCAGTAGGGTCAGAAACTGGCAGATGTCGAGAGCGTTCCTTGTCCGGGGGACCATGAGCCTATATTGATTGAGCCTTGGCGCCTTTTTAGGGTGGTACAACGTGATCGGCTTATACTTGTAATGGTCCGGTATTATATCAATGAAAGATGAGGGCGTGTAGACAACGCGCCCAAGGTAGATTGCCTCCATGACCTTTTGACATGCCGGCGCGCTCAAGAAAATCTTACTTTCCGAGACGATAGCGATTTCCAAGACTGTCGATTTCCCAATTCTGTGTCCTCGCTGTTGAACATTCCACGAGGTAGCATAGCTGTGGACGCGTCTGATCTCCTGCGGTGCGTTTTGAAATGGTTCAAATCCGGCCACTAGTATGTTCGCAAGTAGGAGCAGACCATCGCGTTCTGGATTCTCTTCGTCGAAACGCCTGAGTAACTTCAGAGCTACCAACTCGCAAAGAGACGCTCGAGTGGTATTGATGGTTTGATGCGCCTCGAAGGCTTGTTCCCGAAGGAACTGCAGCTTATTGACAAGCAGACAGTAGATGATGGAGACATCTTTCTCGTCCCAGAGACGGTTGACCAGAGGTCTTACGATGGCAACATTGATCCTTGGTGCCCTGAGTTGCTCGATGCTGTAGGGGTCGTCAATGCTGTTGATGACCTCGTGCCGAACGCGATGGATGGTTGTGTAAACGGGCAAATCTGCGTAAGGATTTGGGGCGCAGGGTCCTTCATAATGATCAGGGTGATCACACTGCTGCTCTTCCTCTGCAAGCAAAGGCTCCTCCTCTGCTTCTTCCTCTTCGCTGAGGTTTGTTCTTGTCATGGCAATTCATGTGCCATTCGGATGCATTTGGGAAGCCTTTCAGTTTAAATGCAGCATTGAAGAATTCCCCGCACGGAAAAAGCCGGCGCCGGAATGCACCAGGTTCATTAAGGTTAAGGTGAAGGTTAATTGCCGATAAGCACAGTAACCGCATCAGTCGTAGTCGTCCAGTGCCAAGCCAAAGCCAAGCTTTCCTCTTCGTTTCTCCATCCTACTGTTTTTCATTGAGTGCCATCATGACGCCTGTCGCTGATCTATCCAAGACTTTAGATCTCTCTATCTTGAGGAACAAATCTGCACTTGTAACGGGCGGAGCATCAGGCTTGGGGGCTTTGATCGCCACCAGCCTTGCAGAGAATGGGTAAGACTTGAGATTGAGCATACCTGAACGTCAAGCAGAGCCAACATGTGTTAGAGCTTGTGTCACGATCGCGGATATCAATGAAGAATTAGCCAAAGAATTTGTTTCAGCATTGAGCACGAAGGGATTACAGTTAGTCCACTGGTCACTTTTGGAGCTCTCGACATTGAAGCTGCTCTAAGATGAAACAGCCTCAATTATGCATCTACCGATGTGACAGACTGGCAGTCTCAAGTGAATGCTTTCAAGAATGCAATAGAATTTTCGAGCGGTAGGAGTATCGACGTGGTGGTCGCTGCCGCTGGAGTGCCAGGTCAGGCATTCATAACACAAGACGAAGAACCGCCATCTTTGGAAAAAGATCCGCCACAGCCACGGAGCGTTGGTCTCAATCTCGATGTGAACGCTAAAGGTGTATACTACACCAGCAAGCTGGCGCAGCATTACTTTGCACTGCCTCCCTCATCCGAAACCAAAGCGGCGCCGGACTTCCGAAAGGCTCTTGTGGTCATAAGCTCGTTGGCAGGCTATCTCGAACTTGACAATGTCGACTACACCGCGTCTAAGTGGGCTATTAGAGGCTTGTTCCGTTCAATAAGATCCAAGATGGAGGATCTGGGCTACCGGATAAACCTGATTGCGCCCTGGATCATGGATACTCCGATGTCGAAAGATTTTGCGGATATGTGTAGGAAAGTTGGATTCCCTGTTGGTGATGCCGATGATGTGGCCAAGGCTGTCATCAGATGTGCAGCGGACCATACCCTCTACGGCAAGTGAACCAAACTGTGATTCTGGGTATTCTGCTGCTGACATGGAGTGGTAGGCCGAGCTCTGGCGATTGGACCTACTGAAACATTTGATCTGCGAGATGATCTTGAAGGACTGAACGCCGGGATTAAGATGAAAGAATTCTTGGAAGGAGAGGCTAAAGAGTTTATGGAATTTTTTGGCCAGAGGGTCTAGTTGGGGCTTCCTGTTGGGGATAAGTAGCACTCGGTCTGATGATGAAAGAGTTGTATACAAGTTCATCCACAATGATGTAGCTGTGACTGTGGCCAGAGCCAGCCTGGATGCCTTGCTTGATTTCTCGAGGCACTCGATGCATTTTGAGGTGATGATCCCGCACCACCGATTTGGCTCTGAGCAACATTCATTTGTGAGCAAGCTGCAGGGTTTCTCCATCCCTCCAACGTTTGCTCCGTGGACGAGTTGGCATTCCTGGGTAGGAAAAACTTGTCTAGCGCACCACGGCAGTCTGTGTCTTAGGTTTGGATCCCTTGCGAGTAGGGCGTGGTCAACTCCCACAACCTTTCGAATGTAAGTTCGCTAAAGACACGACAGGCCGCACTCATTTCTATGTTACTCTCACAATCTCTGACACTCTCGGGAGTTGTCACCTATCGACGATTTGAATTTTTACAAGAAGAATGGACTTCTACAAGATGAATGCCTCCTTCTACTATGCTTCCCTTCAACGAGGATCTTTACTCAGCAGAGCTTGGAATGTGGTGGGAATATACTGGGCCTTGACAGCTATGGCGGGAATGAGATAATGTTCCTGCTCGACATGGCTTGGAACGGCACCCATCTTGATGCACAAATCCGCAACCTGGCCAATCAGCTCCATGAATCAGCTGGCCACGTTCTTGCGTAAAGTGGAGGCTCTGAAGGTTTCTAATACAATAACTCTGCCTTTCAAAATTAAGATCCGCCGGGCGTATATGGAGCCACAGGTCTCGAAAAGTTAAAACTGCTTGAAAGAAACTCGACCCGAGTCCAATTGCTTGGAGCCTCGTCTCTGGAGGCTTCAAACCGAGGAATGCTGGGAAGTGAACGTGGACAGGCCTGGCCTGATAGCGTAACAATTCTGGGAGACGGGATGGGAAAGCATTGCTGCGATCGCCAGCCCAGCCGATGCTTCGAAATTGACCTGATATGGAATAAGCTCAATGTATTGGACCGTACGGAGAAGACCTCACCGCGTGAAATTCGAGTGCCGTTACCCCGCACATTAGCTTGAGGATTCTGTGCGTCTCTGCATACAACGCAACTGCAGCTCACTACCTGATAATTTCAGCGCATCTTGTCCAGTCAACACCCATTAGCAACGAATCGGCCCTGCAATTCCTGGATGATTCTTCTCCTAGCACCCATAGCAGTTGGCGCTGACTACTAAATCAGTATGTGTCTCTGCAGGACCCCGCAAATGCGGGAAATCCGCTCAAAATGCGACTCTGCAAGGTCCCGAGATCGACAAGAAATACCCCCAGATTTGTAGCCAGCTCCGTGGGCGTGGCTTAATCGGATTGCCAACGAACGGGTCCGACACGTAGGAGCAAACGGGCAAACAAGCAAACACGCCATCATCAATGGTATATGTATCAAGTGCCTACCTTAGACTCAGAGCTGAGTATTTTGAGTCACAGAAGTGAGTGCTTGAGCTTGGTAGAGCAGTGGGGATCTGGGGCGAATTAAGACCGCGTTCAGTCCTTCTTATGATTTATACCCGTTCAACCTTCAACTATCAACTTTCCCATGATCTCCGCTCCCCCAAACGCCTACAAAGCGATCGAATTAACAGAAAACTTCGAAATATTCTTCTGCAGCACCGTGGCCAAATAGGGTCCCATTTCTGCAAGATCCCGCAAGGGACCGTAAATCCACCAATGGCGGATCTCCGAAGCAATAGCTCTAAGATTTTCGAAGGATTCCTAGGCACCTAAAGAGGCGAGCTGCGTCACTAGACATAGCTGGGTCCACTCCTAGGGCTGCTCGTGACCAGTTTCCATGAGCTCAGCCGACGTGATCGACTGTGACACTCAGAGCAGGTAAGAAGACTTCATTCTCGGAAAGACCTTCCACTAAGAACCTCGCTAAAGGGCCGCTAGTCGTTGATTAAACTCTGATATAACTGGTTACGCCCGTTGTGACAACTGCCGTACCTAAGCTTCTGCGATGCTCAGGGACGCATGTCCATCTTCCCTGCATCTTCCTTGCCGAGCCAGCTCTAAGTCTGCACGATCGTTTGCATCGACATGCGCAGACTTCTGAACCTCTCACAGCTGTCGTCTGGGTCAGTCACATTTATGTGCACGGTCACCCTTTCCGTCACGTGTGTTGAAAGGCCAGATGAGACTCATAGGAATACAAGTACATTTTTAAAATTCTTGGTTCCTCTCTCAAATAACCGTCTCAGTGCTCGGAATGGAGGCCAACCGATCGATCGAAGGCGCAGTTTCACCCAGCCCGAATTACGTCTCTGATGGCATCGTTCCAGTCAGCGCCGTATTCTTAACGCTCTCTACCTTTTTCTTGGCTCTGCGAGTATACACCAGGGTTCGACTCCTCAATGCCTTTTATTCGGAGGATTGTATGGTGGAGATATCCTGCTACAGAGGGTGCTCAGCTTACTTTGCGTAGATATCATCGTCGCTGCTTGGCTATTCAGTACTGCATGGACCATAATTTGCCTGGGTGAGTATCAGAATAGGTTTCGCACCGACCGAATCATTAACAATGTCGAACAGAACAGGAAGAGGACGAGACTAGAAGGCACCTATGGGCCATACCGAAGGAGGCCTTGATTGTCTCTTCGAAGGTAAGACTCTGCCGCACGTTTTTGTCTCTGTGTTTCACCTGTAGGTGCTCACCAGCTACCTAGTGGGCGGCAGCTTCAATATTTCTCTACGTCCCAGCAACCGCCCTCCCAAAACTCGCCATCCTAGTATCCTACCTGCGGATACTCCCCAACAAAAACATCCGTATCAGTGTCTACGCTGTCTTTTTCATCACCATTGGCTACATGGTTGCCTGCTGCTTGGCGTTCCTGCTCCAGTGTCATCCCGTTGCGCGGATATGGGATATGGTTATACCGGGTGAATGTCACGTCATATCCAACTTTCTTGTCAATGGTATCTTCAACTTCGCTATCGACATCATGGTCCTTCTCCTACCAGTACCAGTGTTGATGGAGTGGAGAGTCAGTAGCCGCATGAGGGCTCTAATGGGAGGTGTCTTCGCCATCGGCTCATTGTAAGGCTTTCGCAAATACTGCCCTCTGATAGAGCCAGCGCATACCAATCAAGGGTCTAACATCCATACCACAGAGCATGTATCGTCAGCGCGGTCCGAATCTACTTCATCGCTCGCGGTCTAAACACCTTTCGAACGGGGATCGCCGTCATCATCGGCATACCCAGATCCCTTGGTGTGGTCGAAACCAACCTTTCCATAATCTGCGGATGTATTATGGTCATGCGACCGTTCTTACGAAGACACCTTCCTTTCCTCCTTGAGATCGGCTCTCAGCGTGCCGAACACAAACACGCTGGAGTTATCGATGACGAACATCCACTAAAGGTGTTCAGCATTACCGTCGAGAGCAGACTGATGAAGACAGGCGCTGGCTTTGGTGGTGTCAATAGCAGCGCAGGCTGGATTTGGGATCAGAGGAGCAGGATCGGCACCCGTGCTATCGTGGATACCGCCATTCAAGATTTGGACATGGAAGGCGCGAGAGATTGGCCTTTGAGGGATGATTTGTCGCCGAAAGCAGAAAGAGCTGACAACGTGATTGAAGAGATATACTACGCTAGTAATGACCCAGAGCTTGCACGAAAGACACAAACGACGCGGACCTTCAGCCGGGGGTCCCAAGTAATGGACTGTGGCTCCGAGACGAGAGGCGTATCTAAGACACAGGCTCGCACAGTGAGCCTCATTACAGCTGCGAATCCTTGCGTGGTCAGGGAGACAAATTGGCCAGGCTTTTGGCGCTGACGTGCTGAAGAGAGCACTACGGCGTCGCGATTGCTGTTAATATTTGGCTAGGCGTGTGTAGACTTCTTCACTCGGCTCGTTACTGCAACAGGCCTCAAGACAGCTGACTCTGTGTGAAAAGATCGGATACAGCCTTGACTCTCATCCCAACAATCCTCCTCATACATTTGACACGCTCGCGCTTTCATTACCAATTGAAAGAGCATGATAGCTTCTCTTGCCATTCTCGCACGATGCTGTCGCAGCTGCTCCCAATACCTACTTAAAACACTGCGTTGAACATCTCGTTCGAACATCTCCTTTTCCTGTCTTCCAATCAGGTTACATGTGCAGTTCTCTGTCATAGGACCATACTTCCACGATAATGAATCCTCGCAGTCGAGAACCAATCCTGAGATGCGGAGTTCATCAAACTGCCTCCGGTTCTACTACTCACGACGGGGTCTGAGGGTTGGAAGTCGTACTAGATCCCTCACACATGTCTGTTGTCTCGTTGACGTCCAGAGCGCGAACGGGGAAGCTTTCGCTGTGATCTTAACCGCCCAGGAGTCCGGCGAAGTGGTTGAAGTCGTTGTTCTTAGAGGCACAGAAACCTCGAAGGAGACAATAGACAATGACCCGCTCTATTTGCGGCGAAACACAAACGCAGGTCAATCCCTTGGATAACTATCAATCAAACAGGAGGTCTCTGCAACCTCTAGGAAGAAAAGCGTGAATCATGAACGTGCTCCTTTCGTCCCAAACAGGGTTTCCGCAACTATCGGTGTAAGCTCCACACCATAAACTTTTTCTGTTCAACGCACTTTGCGGATTTGTCGTGTACTATCGTACGTCTCGCTGTATCATACCTAGCATACAGCGGTGTATATCTAGGCATGTAGCACGTGTGGTTCTGCACGTGCAAAGATAGTTCCCGTTGCGGTGGCTTCCCTGTCTGGGTGGGTGCAAGACATTCTCATCACCACAAGACTCTATTTTGTATTCTGGGACCGCCTTCAGTCCAATGTTGCGGGTCTTTGGAGGAGGATCTACCAACGATGGCTTGCCATGACGACTCTGAATCGAGAGAACGATTAAGAAAGGAGCATTTCAGAATACCTCGGATCCCGACCGTCTCGCTGCTGGGTCCAGTACAAAAAATACTTGATCATCATCGTTGGGTCAAGCGTGGAGCATTAGGGTAAATAGAGGCCTTGTTATTTGGTGGTTGTGTGGTTGGTGTGGAGTGTTTTTGGCACGATTATGATGGGGCCAGTGGTTGTGATGAGGAAGAGGAAGAATGTTAGGGAGGAGCAGGCGAGGTTGATGGTTGATCGGGAGCTAGAGTCGATATGGATGAGTGGGAAAGGGGAGAGGGCAAGAACGGCGACAAAGAGAAAAAGTCAAAAATCGTCGGGGAGAGTTGGGGATCCTAGAAATATGTTCGGCCGAAGGAAAATGATTGTGAACGCAATAATGGGTCGAGTCCGTTAGAGGCTGGGTTAAATCGCAATCCCTCATCGGTCTTCGCCCCTCCCACTTAACCTTAAGTCTAATTCCCTATCAGCAAGAGGGACCGAATTAGTGTGACCACTCCCCGGGGACGATCACTGATAGGAGCTGCAATATGCTATCGCGGCAATCGGATATATACTTAGCACCCTACATGGAAATCCAACAACCTTGATACGCGCGAGGATGATACGGGTGTGGTATATCATGAAAGTGCTGTTTCTAAGACTTCTGGTGATACTCTTGTGTCAAAGATTTTCAAGATGTGGGTTCACTATCTTCTTCTCCTTCAAGTCCCTTTCCTTACGTTCACAGCTTCGCTTTCTGCACCACCCTCGCTTTCTCCATTCCGCAGTCTAAACCCGAATCTCACATACCCTTGCACTCTCTGGCTCCCCAGTTCCTCCAAGTATGTTCAAGGCCATCACTGAAAAGACAGCGAGTGATTAAAAAGACTTGCGAGCAGTAATCTACCCCCTTCGCTTTACTCTTACCGCGTTCCTTGCACCAATGTCACAATCACATTCTACAATTATGGTCATTATCTCAGCGACGCAATTGTGAGTCATCCTCTCGTTATCATCTTGTGGCCTTGGTGTTACATCCCCTGCTGCAGAGTCGATCGTGTTCCCCAATCATTGCTCAAGAGGAACAAAGACACTAACTCCGAGACCTTCGAGGCGACCCAAATGGTCATCGGGGCCGGCTACGAAGACGCTGCAGCACACCAACCAGATAATGAAATAGACACACAAGAGCTACGTTATAGTGAACGGTATGTTGACAGGGTGGACATGGTGGTTCGGCCAAGAGAGGAAATGACATGGGAGACATGGAGGTATGCGTTACTGGGCATCGGGAAGTTCATGCAGAACTGGGAGTATGTTGAGTTGAGCTTTGATATAGTTGTCCTCGGATTGGGAAGAGTGGGGATTGGGAGACTGTTTCGGGAGGGTGGGACTGGTTTGGATAGATGAAGGGTATTCCTAGAGTCGTGCGTTTTGACTTTCGCATAGACTCGGTCGTCACCTGTCACCTCTTTCTACCGGTAAGAATCAAATTTCTCTCCCAGCCACTTGGACAAATAGGGAGCCTCTTAGTTTCTACACAATGATTCCAAGGAAATGCTCACGTCGGAGGGAAGACCTTCTGGGCAACAGTGCATGACTTAAAGCCTGGCTTAATAGCACGTAGAAGATCGAAAGTCTGACAAGATGTCATTTTGGCAAGCCAATCAAGGTGTTGTGTTAGTCCTACCGGTGTATAGATACCATATCACTAATCCAAAGCATGCTCTTGAATGAACAGAAGAAGAATTTGTTCAGATTCATAGGCCAATTTCTCTACTACCGAGCAGTTTCAGGGCTCTTCCAGCCGGATGAGCGTGAGACCTAGATAGCTTTATGAGGAAGAGTGTAGAAAGCCCCGTCCAGAGCTCAGATTAACGGTCAGCTAAGCTCAACCCTAACGCTTCAGGGCACCTGCAAGATATGATCGATATTGAGGCCTTAGGTTCATTAAACAAGTAGCAATAGAGAAACCATCAATGTAACCACTATAATGCCACAAAAGAGATACCGCCAGGCAACTGGGGGACTGGACTCATTCAAAAAAGACTGGTCGCTCTGCAGGTCCAATCGGCCTTGGAGACGCACGGCAGCTTTTTGTCAAAAATCTAGAATGGGCGACGGAGATCGCGCATAACCCTATGTTGTATGTCTTAAATTCCAATGAGGCGAATCTCTTGTGGTGGTATCATTTGGTTTTCCGCCTTGATGAGATGAAACGTGAAGCCTTTCATTTATGTTTGACTTAGCGATACGAATACACCGCGGAGCTACCAACTTGCCGACCAGTACTCCATGTGAAGAACTTCATGGCAGCGATATAGTGCGGGAGTGAAATGGACGGCGAAACGGGCATATTCACCCCCTCTCAATGCTAAATCCTGCGCTTTCCTTCATTTCCTGTTCATTTCCTGTTCATTTCCTGCAGTTAGATACAACTTAGGCAGCCCATGATAAGGCCATCCCTAATTTGAGATACAATGGAAGATTCTTTGGAGGAATTGAGCCCTGGCCGTGGATTTAGGTGCTCGGGGTACTAATTATCACCCCCCACGCTCCACGCGGCCCGGAGGACATTCGAGACCTTTTAGCCTTCATGCGACCCGCCCGGACGAAACCACAATTGTAGGAAGATTGTCGTCTCATCAGCATCCTCTGCGACAGTTATCTTAGACCTTGTGAATACACACTATCCCACGTCGATAGGAGTGAGACTCTGTGGCGTCTGCAAAAACTCCCAAAGATACTTTTGCCCTGCTTCGAAACGAGAAGCCTGGGAGAGATGACTTGTCTGACAGCCTGAGACAGCAAATATGCTTCTGATGCCGCTCTTACTGGCTCAATAACTGCTTGTGACCAAGGCCATGGGGACCCAAACGCCTTGGAGCTAGGCTACCAACCTACGGCAAGTCACGATGAGGGAGGAAGATCATCTATGCCCTTCACTCTGAGGAGAGGGAACAGAACAGTTCAATCGGTATTTTCCTGTATTTTGGGCATCTCAGAATATTAGCGTCAATCGAAACTCGAATATACAGGTTCGCAGATCATACGGAAATCTTCGCGGCTTGTATTCTTACTGTTTCGTATCTCCTGGATCATGCCAACCGTACCACACGCTCCCAGTATCCCGCCTTCTACCCGTCTCAGAATTTCTGCCTAGAGATTGTTATCTGGGCCTCCAATTAAGGGGGTAAGTCTAGTTCAGCGTGAAGGAATCCGTGCTCGGCTCCATGGTCTTCTGGGTGACATGCATACACTTCCTCTTGCCGTCGGTCAGCTAACAGTCATCATGCCGCTATCAATGTATCATTCTAGTTTCAGGCGTTCTTAGCGGGCGTGGAGTCATACGGCATCTACCAATTCTTTCAACTCCATATGCTTATATCGACCCCCTCGTCCCTATTTACGACCTCCAGGTTCTGAACCAGGCTTCTCACAACGAAGCGTTATCCTGCGCTGGAGACTAAGATCACCTTTTGAGCCGGCACATCGTCAAGATTACCAGAAAGGTCCGCAACAACATCCAATCATGTACTCGATTAGCTTGCTCCTGCTCCTCGCGAGTACTGGTTACCCTGAGGGTACCCGAGCAGCAGGCGGACGTCTCTCCAGGCGTCAAGGCTCTACACTGGTGCCATTGTGGGGGGCTTGCAACTATCCTAGCCAAGGCATCAACGGACCGCTACCATGCGCCTCAGGAAGTGAATGTATTTGTAAAGACGACAGTACGTACAGTATCTATATATTCCATTCGATACTTGGCGTTGGATCCATCAGGATCTACCATGGGAGTTTCTGATGATTGGCACAGCATATGCACAATGTCGTGAGCAAGTCGGCGGTTCTTGGGCTCCCGACTCCTCTTGGCAATGCCAACAACCTGGGGACACTGCGACGGACTCCTCAAGTTCGACCACTTCTTCCACGGGTGATACTAGCTCTGGAAGCGGCACTGGCAATGTCGCCTCACCGAACACCAACTCCGATACAGCAACTGGTAGCAGCAATTCACAGGCTGCTACCACAGGTGACTGCACCTCTACCAGCGCACCAGGTGGTTGGGACGGTATTGCTTCTACGTCGGTAAGTTTTTGACAATCATTAACCTTCGTGGACCATTGCTGAATTTGTCATAGTACTATGGCTGGATGGGCAGCTCCTGTGACTGTGGACAGAATTCTTGGGAATGGGGCGGCAGCTCTGGCGTCTATAACGGCGCCGTCAACCAGAAGCTCTTCCAAGGCAGGATCAACGGCGGTGGCCAACCGAACTGTGGGGAGGCCTGCGGAGGCTGCTATGAGCTCTTTACAAGCGGCTTCAATGCCTACAACGATGGCGTCGGAAGCGGTTCCATGATCACGCTGCAGATTGTCGATTCCTGCTATTCTGCGGGAGACCATTGGTGTGGGAGCACGAGCGATGATTACAAGGATAGTTCGTTATGCTCGGTGCACTTTGATATCCAGACAGGTCCTCCTTTGTCACATGGTCAGGCAGCTGTCGGGTCCGATGGAACCACTTGGAATGGTGAGCGAGATTCGAACCCTCGATATGTTGAATTGAGTGCTGATTGATGCAGATGGTGGCCAGATCGTCTATTACAGGCAGACGTCGTGTCCGCAGACGTTGACGTCTGGTTACACATCGAGCTGTACCTGTTGAAGTGGAGGATTGAAATCTTGCGCCTAGTGCGTTTACGAACTGTTAGGGAAGAATCATGGACGAAGATGTTGCACCAGCTGCAAGGCTTGATATCCTTCCTGTGTAACTTTAGGCTGGAAGTTTGAAATACTTGCCACATAGATGATGTAGAACTCAGAGCACGGCCATAATATGCACTCGTAGTCTCCTTGACAGCGCCTGTAACACTGGGAGTGGCTATCCTCGACCTTAGACGCTCATAGCCCGTGAAATCCAATTGCGTTACGTCTTGCCAGGACTGGTCGCAGGATTCTCCGTAGAAGAGTTGGACGACTTGATAGCATCTCGCAATTCCAATCCCCCGATAACATAACACAACTATGGACTCCCACCACCGCCACGCTTATATCCTCTGCTCATCAAGCCATTCTCGTGGACCCTCTTGTCACAACAACACAGGCCAAACCTTTGCCCGACTGGGTCGAAAATCTTTTCCCGGACCGGCACTTGACTTACCTTTACGTAACCTGTTGGAACGACTCAACACTCGCTACCACTAGTACTCATTCGGCCTAGTACATTGACATGTAAAGGCCGTTCCTGTACATAGAATGCTTCTTCCTCAGACATCGTTAGGAATACATAACTAGTGATAGGTCTCAATGCATACCGAAGTATTACCAACATAACCCATGGGCATGGAGATCATTTCCTTGGCCTTTCGAGTCTTCAGAAGCGTTTCCCAAACACCACTGCTGTCGCTAATAAAGGTACCCTTGCCCACATGGAGGAGCAAATCTCACCGAACGATCAAGTATTCTTGAGGACATGTTTTCCAGGGGATCAGATTATATTTCCGGCATCTCCGCCGGCGAAGACTCTTCCTTCGCATAATCTGACCGTTGACCTCAAAGGTCACACGCTGGTGGCCGTACCGGCCTACCATTCCGACATGGAAGATGGGTCCTTCCTGTGGGTCCTTGATCTAAAATGAAGGTCACGGGCGACATCGTCTGAAACAATGCTTGTTCGTATCTTGCGAAACCCCTCACTAGCGCGCTGAGACAGATATAGATCCAAGCGATTGAGCAGGTCAAATCCTTTCACCCAGAGACTTAGTCGTGGACCACAAGCAGCCTGGGGCAGCTGATGGATCGTGGACGTTGAGTGCAACACAGACTTCCATCAAGTTGTGGGATGGACAGGCAGATCAAGCGAAGAATGCGGAGGACATGTTTGCAAGGATCAGGGGCCCTGTTCCAGACAAAACTAGGGACTTCATGCTATAGTGGTCTTCTCTGCAGCAGCTCCCTACGAATAGCTCTACTAGAGCTTGAGATCAAGTCACCCAAATGGAGGGCGGACTAAGTCTTAGGCGTTGGAGAGAGTGATGAGTAGGCTGGGAGGTGATACTTTTATGGATGGCGCGCATTGTTGGCTGCACGGTGTTAGTCATTATCAGCATTGTTAGCTGCGTGGTGTTAGTCATTATCAATCCTACTACACGTATACATGTAGTGAATGTAGTGAATTAGCGATGGTTGAGGAGAACCTGTTTGACATGTTCTCCATGAGTGCTTTTAGCTGTCAAGACAGATGCGACCGAGGCAACTCAGATTTTTCATGAACGCTTTTCTCAGTTTCGCGCTAGGATGCTAGCTAATTAGATCGGCCGCTAGAGTACTCTAGCGGATGCTTGGCAGCGGTGGAGTGGTCATACAGCATGAAGATGAATTTGAGAAAGGAAATCATGTCCCAAGTATATCCATAGATAGATTTACTGTGACTCGAGCTGTCTAATCCTCATCATAACCCTACAGTGAAAGGACTAGATACTGGCTCAACAAACAGGCAGACTTCAGCACAATGTGGGTGATGTGACTCTAGCGGTCAAAGCCTACACCTCCCTCGAATCTTCCCGCCTCTACTATGAAGCCCGTGATCGCTAGTGATTACCGCCTTCTGTCTGAGGGTACGGCCAGGATACTGTGGTCGCAACAGGTTTAGAGCGCATGAATTTGCGTCGCTGGTCAAGGTTGGCGGTCAAGCCAACACTTTCATTCGCTCAAAAGAGACCTTTACAGCCAGTGATAGGCCATTTGAGTGTCTCATAGGGCCATGGCCATCAGAAGCAAACTCAGGGGTAAGGTTTTCTTGTAAATTTTCGACGAGTTTTACGGAATTGATGGCCTTCTGAAAAGGTCAAATGCCTGTTGACGTGATGAAACGAAAAACGGAAACCATAAACAAGCGAGACGCATTCCCCTTAATATTTTGAATTTATGTTTTTACAAACTATGCATGACAAATGACTTGCTAACTGATTTTTATCCTGTCTCTGCATTCACTGAGCCGGATTAAGGTTTCATACAATCAAGACGCATTATCTATCACACAATATGTGCCCGGAGAATCTTCGCCTTTCACCTATTTTCCCAAGATCGAAGCTCCGGCCTGCAATAGTCTCGAAATTCATATCACATTCAAGTGCAAGCAACAAAATCGCCATTGCTGCTAAGATCCTTGTGAGCATAAGCTCCACAGTAAGTAGCGGTATTCTCAGTTTGCGAAGAGGCACCATTGGATTTGACGATGTAGTATTCTCTGCTCGAGGTCAGTCTCGAACCACTCCGTATGTCTCATAGTGATGACCAACCGATAAGGTCCAGGTTTGTTGTTGTTCGAAGCCGGGTTCTGACTCCAATAAGTCTCCTCGTCATTGTTGGTTGAATCAATGAACATAGGAAGCTCTAGTATCGTCTCTCCATTTGTCTGTCGAGTGCCGCAGTCGTTTAGGTCCCAGTTGAATTGGTCTGCTTTGCCGCTATCTGGATTGAAAGGTTTGGGGTATGATCCCTTCTTGCTGCAAGAGGTCAGTACCGACACCTTGTCTTTGAGAAAGAGAATACGCCTACCCGTTCCTGACGATGTCGGCAATGTTACCAGTCACATAGCCGGCAGTGAAGTATTGATTTGTATCTACTCAAAAGCTTAGAGAAAACACAGAGTATTCAAGGCAGCAAGGTCGTATACTGGGTTTGAGTGCTATATAAAATGTCAACTTCCCTGACTAGGGAAGGGGTTTGTACGTCATGACTCACGGACTGGGCAGGACACGTCATCGGTTGGTGCTCCAACAACATCAACCACTTGCAATGGTTCAGCTCCTCCAACTGGAATACAATATGTCAAAGGCAGGCTAGCAAAAGCCCAGGAGATGCAAATCACGGAGGCGTAGAACATATTGATAGTCTTCGAAGACTGAAGGTAAGGGGATTGGAAAAATATCGTGTGGGAAGACGTGATCAAGGCTGCCAACGAAAATTGAGAGGCTGTATGAGAAGTTCAGAAAGCTTCTGGTCATCGAGCAAGCTTAAGTACTCGTGAGCTTACAGTGCGGCACCGGCAACATTGAAAACCACCTTGACTAGTGTTTGCAACATTCCACGCCTTTTGCTCTACAGCCGTCTTACCTGATCTATGTTTCGCATTTAAATACCTTCCTTTTGATGTTCCACTGCTAGTCGGAGAACACCGATGTTCGGTTGTTGCAGATGGCTTCAGTCCGGCTCACCATGACTGTGCCTCGAGTTGGGGGCTTGGAAGTTGTCATGAACGTGTCCCCATGTCTGACAAAGTGGCATAGCATCTGTTTCAACTTGGCTGACAAAGTGGCATAGCATCTGTTTCAACTTGGCTGTCTTGCGGTTGAGACCCGAGAATAGTTGGGGGCTTGAAATCACAGGATTTTGGGATTTTTAGGTATGGAGCACCAAAATCGTTACGTCTCGGACTAAAGTGTGAATTACGAGGCTGAAGGTATCATTGATCAGGGTAGACTACTCTACGCCTCATAGATACGAGCAACCTGAAGCTAGGATCTAGAAAGATTACCCGTAGCAGAAGGCTGTAGTTCTGCGCAGGTCGCAAGATGTCGGGAAAAGTCCTGGAAAGAGTAAGCTGCGGTGACAGCCCTACGGTCAAAAGCTTCAAGCATGAAGGCAATGATGACAAGACTTGAATTTGTCAAATACCACGCTCTACAAAGAGGCAATGTGATGTTTCAGGTCTTTCCACAGTCACAAGTCGTCGATCTCGTGTGAAGACATGCGCCCCTTAGTCTCGTTTCGCGGTTTTACCTGTCGGCAGCATCATTCTCCATCGGATCAGGCACGTAAAACACGGATGTCTCTTCGCACGCCTGGTATGTTTTACGTGCCTGATCTGATGGTGAATGATGCTGCTGACAGGTAAAAATTTTCTCAGAAAAGCGGCCCAGCGATGTGTGCCGCTCCAGTGTGGTATTGGACGGAATGGCTGTGTTCAGCTGAGAAATTCTGGATCCGGAGTTTTGCCGATCGCAACATGTATTATTCTTGCTTCATTCTCTATTTTTCCGTCAACTTGAAGTCTGTGTCGCGACTGATCCATCAATTTGTCACATTTTTTTTTTGACTTTTACATCATTCATCCAAATCTGGAAAAGCAGTAGCATCTTGTCACATAGCCGCAGGACAAAAACTTTGCACAGCGGAGACATCACTACTAATTCTCTGTGCCAATCTCCATGATGGCCAAAGAAGAACTGCATCCCTACCAGCAGCAAGCCCTGGATCTGTTCTGCACGGCGTGGACTAGTAAAGTGCTGGGGAATCAGCGAGACTTCAGCAGTGCTGCCGAAACCTTGGCGCAACACACTGCAGAAGCCAAAGATCCCTCCTCAGGCGTCTATATATGGAGCACCATCCTCGCCATTCACGAGTACGCCAGCACCTGTCCCGAAGCCCTCGACCTCACGCTACACGTCTACGCCTCAGCTTGCAACCAATTTCCCGACACGATCTCCAACGAATATGGGCATGGACCCACTGCAGGGTTGCAGCAACTAAAATGGTGGCTGGTTGAGGAAGCAGATGGCTTTCAGGGAGTTTTGATGCCACCACAGTGTATCGGCAGTCTTGATACCGCAGACCGATCGAACATTTTATTCAAAAGCAGCGATGTGGACAAAGACGTGGACGGGATACTTTCAGAAATTGAAGAATGGAGGAAAGAGCGGACATCTTGGATTGCTGCTGCAGCGATGCAATCCCGATGCTTCTCGCTTGACATAATGCGTGTGAACGACGGTCGCCAGATCGAGGCACTGATAGACTCTGGACTTAACCGTGGGCGCGGTAGATGGGGTAAGGCTGATTTCATCGGCGCTTGCATCATGATTCGAGGATGTGGAAAGTCCCTATTTGAACACCCGGGCAATGGGGTGGCATATGATAAACTTAAAAGCTGGAAAAGCGCCCTGGAAGCATTTCTCCGGCATGACGAAAAGTCTTCGTCGAGTGTTGATTTCGTGGTAACATACCATGCCTCCGTAAGCGTTCTACTTACTGTCCTACATGTTAAATTGAAGCTGACGCTTTGAAGCTTGCACTCAGAAATCTTCGATCAGGACCGGAAGACGAGTGCAGTAGCGAACTGTTTGCCTCCAACGCTTGGCTGTTATAGTTTCTCGAAAGCCCCTATGGTAGTACAGAAGTCATAACAAAGAGCAAGACTCAGTCTACGAGGCTCGCCGTGGAAGACAGCTTAAGTTCCTTGGTAAAAACGCTTATTTCTACACTCTCAACTCGTTGTTTCGGCAACCCCCCTCCGGGTTACAGTTCGCCAGAAGAGAAAAAAAATCGATAGAGGTAAAGCGAGTATATATCGAATCTTTACCTCGGATAAACTTATAGTATATATTAAATATATTTATTTTACTTAAATAAACTTAAGTCGAGTTAAAAAAACTATATATAATTTATTTAAGTTATTATATATATTAAGTATATATTAAATATATAATATAAACTTCTATTAAATTCGAAGAGTCTTAGAGTTATATAGTAATACAAGTAAAGGCCTATAAATTAAATTCATAGAGTTGGATTTTTCATTTTTCTAAATTAAATAGAGTTAGATTTTTCTAAGTTAAATGGAATTTTAGCCCTAGCCCTAAGTTAAATCGAACTCTAATCGCTTACTATACGTTTTTAACCTACTTCCATCACTATAAAATTAATTTAATCTATGTGATATATAGATATATATATACGGAGAGAGGCGCGCTAAGGCCTAATTAGGAAGGTGTATTAAGTGTAAAGGATTAATCCGTAATAATTGCCTACAAAAAACAGAGAAAGGCCATGTCCTTATGGTAAGAAGTATCGAAATACCGGAAAGAAATGAAGACAACATGTCAATTAGTGGTGTGAATCCCATATTATCTCCTGCCGCAGTGAAATCATTCGAATAATGAAATAGCTGTCAGAGCAAGACATCGGACGGTTTCAATTCGTCCAAATATGTATCGTTCGATGTTCCTCCTGCAGAGGCCTAATTGGCTGTGATCGTCGCAGTAGATCCTCCTCTTGTGACGTTATTGCAGTGATGTATCATATTAATACAGTGGGGATGACAGGCCAAGTTGTAGTGGTGTTCTCCGCTTGCTGAGTGATGATTTGATGTGGAACCGTGGAGAGCATATGACGTGGGATCTTGGAGAGCTGAGCCGTGTTTTTGACGATGGTGGCCTTGTTGCCGCTTGGTTTCTCCGTAGTATTCTCCGCATTTATCTATTATAGTTCCTTCTCTTACTTCTTAATATAGTAGAGATAATAGGCTAAGTTATAATAATATTCTCCACTTACTAAGTAATAATATAATATAAAATTATAAAGAGTATATAACGTGGGATCTTAGAGAGTTAAGTCGTATTCTTAACGATAGTAATCTTATTACCGCTTAATTTCTTCGCAGTATTCTTCATATTTACCTATTATAGTTTCTTCTCTTACTTCTTAATATAGTAGAGATAATAGACTAAATTATAGTAATATTCTCTACTTACTAAATAATAATTTAATATAAAATCGTAAAGAGTATATAACGTAGGATCTTAGAGAGCTAAGTCGTATTTTTAATACTAAAAGTCTTATTACCGCTTAATTTCTTCTTAATATTCTTTATATTCGTTTACTATAGCGATTTCTCTTATACTAGCTAAGTAAATTAATATAAGATTATAAAGAGTAGATCTATTATATTACTACTACTAATAACTATCTTTATAGTATTCTTCGTATTCGTTTATTATAGATCCTTCTCTTATTTAACTAAGTATAAGAATATTAAGAATAAATATATTTATATTAATAGAATTAATAGAATTAATAGAATTAATAGAATTAATAGAATTAATAGAATTAATAGAATTAATAGAATTAATAGAATTAATAGAATTAATAGAATTAATAGAATTAATAGAATTAATAGAATTAATAGAATTAATAGAATAGTAAAAGAAGAATAATTATATAAATAGATGAAAGGATTATTATTCGATTTCGAACGCGTTTAATATAATTATTATATTTTCAGAAGCTTCTTCTTAACGATATTTAGAATTTAATACGTATTAAGAGACTTTAAAATAGAGTAATAAAGAATAAATAGAGAAGAAAAATGCGTTTTAAGAGATAGTATCGCTAAGTTAGAAGATATTATCGCTAGTTTAAAAGAAGTATATAGAGAAGAATATATTTATTTAAGCTCTTTAAGAGTTTTTTAATAAGTTTATAAGTAGTAATAAATAGCTATTAAACTCGCTTATAACCTCGATTACTAATAATAGCGAATTTATTAAAAAATAATTTAAAGATATTAATAGAAGCTCTAAGCGGCGAGTAATAGAGATATATATATTTAAAATATTAAGTAATCTTTAGACGAGAGATATCGAAGACGATTATATTTATATTAATGAAATTAATAAAATTAATAGAATAGTAAAAGAAGAATAATTATATAAATAGATAAAAGAATTATTATTCGATTTCTAGACGCGTCTAATATAATTACTATAATTATTATATTTAAATATTTATTTAATCTATTAATAGTAGATTAAACTTTATTATTTTTATAGCGTTAGAAAGCGTATACTAAGCTCTATAATTTACGAAATTATAAAGAAATAATATTCGTAGAGAGCTAGTTATTTTAGAGTATAAAACTTCTATATATAAATTTTTAATAAGAAAGCTTAAGAGAGCTAGCGGGCTAACTTAGTTAGTCTAGCTAAAAGACGTAATAACTCTAAATTTATAATTAGCTATATATATAAATTTAAGATTTTTAAACTTAACTCTATCTTATTCTTTTATATATACTAATAAAATTAGAAAGATAAA